GTGACTTTTTCTTACAACAGAATGAAATGTCATTGTGGGGGCCTTGTTGCCACTGGCTGTTCTGTTGGGAAGTGAGTGTGCCTTGAAGATTAACTGTTAGCACTTCACTTCTCTAGCTATTACTTTAGTCATTTTTCTTGTCCTTTCACAAATTCTTGCTGTTGGCAGTTGTAAGAGTTTCTTGACTTACTATAGTCGCAGCAGTCGTTTTTGCCCTACTAGGGGAAACATCTGAATTCATCTTTGCACTCTGCTCTGCCTGCCCTGTTGCACACCTCTGGCACGATGCTGGCTGCATGGCAAGTTTTAGTTTCACACTGCCTAGCAAACACATTGGCTGACCTCACACCATGCAGTCTACACCAGAGACTAGCTTTAGAAACTTCTTTGGAATTTTAAGACCACTGTCTCTAGATGCTGAGTATTGAGAATTACTAGTAAATTTAGTGCTTACGGACTTACGGGAGAGATTTAAAAAAAAGGAAGGAAAGAAAAGGAGAAAAGAGAGTACTGGGGTTGAAGAATGATAAAGCATAATACTACCAGGATTTCAATTGTTCTTTCCATTCACAGAATACTCAGGGAGTCTCTCAGGTTGTTCCTCCATAACCAGTTCCACTAGCACAACCACAACCTACCGAGCCTCCCACTGTGCTTTGCTATATTGACGGGTATGTAAAACTAGAATTCTTCCTCAACTGGTAGGGAGAATGACATGACATTTTACGTTATTAGACCTTTGAGGTTGGCATTGTAGTACAGAAAATTAGGCTACCACTTGATTCCATCCTGGAGTGCCTGGGATCAGGTCCCACTGAGCCTGTGCTTGTGATTGAGCTTGCTGTTAATGCAGCTGGAAGATAAAAGGCAGTGAATCAGATATTGAGCCTCTGCCACCCAGCTGGGAGTTGCTGGCTCTTGCCTTCAGCCTGCCCCAGTAGGCATTTGACAAGCAGTCCAGCAGATGTGCGGGCCAGCACACTTGGGCCCTGTCTCCCTGCCCCCCACTTCTCTTTCCTTCTATCCTTTCCTACCACTTCACACCTGGTCTCTCTTCTCACTCTCATTTTTTCAAAGAAATAAACTTTAACTGCCTTTCAAATAAATCTTTTAAAACTTTAAATGTGCATGTATGTTGATATCCGACCTTTAAATCTCTTATTGCAAATGGAAAGGTTTTGTTTTTGTTTTGCTTTGTTTCAAGTGCACATTCAGATGTTGCTTCAGGGATGAGTAATGGCAATGAGACTGTCCCAACATCCAGTGGAAGGCATGAAGGGAGAACTACCAAATGACATTATCAAAAATCTGTAAGAAGTCGCTCTCGTCATAAAAAGACTTCATGGCCAAAATTAAGAATTTTGAATTCTTTGACTCATTGACTTTATATTGTTAAATAATTTGGCACTAAACAGGATTTTAGAGGGCACAAATCAAATCATTCACATCATTAAGTAAAGATACATTATGGCACATGATTTGTATAGCACTCTACCTATTTAAGAGTTACTTATGGGCCTGACATGATAGCCTAAAGGCTAAATCCTCACATTATATGCTCAGGATACCGTAAGGGTGCTGGTTCATGTCCCAGTTACTACACTTCCCATCTAGCTTCCTGCTTGTGACCGGGGAAAGCAGTAGAGGACAGTCCAAAGCCTTGGAACCCTCAGCCTGTGCCCAGGTGGAAGACCCAGAAGAAGCTCCTGGCTTTGGATCGACTTAGCTCTAGCCTTTAGTGCCGCTTGGAGAGTGAACCAGTGGGTGAAAGATCTTTCTCCCGTCTCTCTTCTCTGTAAATCTACCTTTCAATAAAAATAAATAGATCTTTTATAAAAATTTATTTATATGCTTGAAATTTTCTATCTAGTGTTTCATACCAGGGTCCAGACCAAAACCAGAAGCACGGAACTCCATCCAGGTCTCCAACTTGAGTTACAGGGCCCTAGTTGCTTGGATCATCCTTTTTTTTTCTTCCTTTTCTTTTCTTTTTAGGTTTGCACTCCTTTTTTATTTTACGTTTTATGGTACGGTTCCATAGGGTTTGGGATTTACCATCTGCCAAATTCTTACCCCCAACTGATTTTCCCCATATTGTTACGATAGTATAGTCCTTCATAAGGAGTCATAATTCCATCAGTCTCATATTTGTGCCCTGACATTGCTGGTACAGACAGTCCAGCATCCCATGTCTAGATATGTCCAACAGTTTCATTGGGATCCATCTTTGATTTGGAAGGGGGGATGCATGTTGCATTGTATCTTCATATCAAGATATGGTAGTCTCCATTACTCCATTACTATTCATTCCAATTTGCATAATGGCTTCCTTATATTAGAGAGAACATATGGTATTTGTCCTTTTGGGATGGACTTATTTTACTGAGCATAATGGTATCTAGTTGGAACCATCTAGTTGCAAATGATATAATTTCATTCTCTTAATGGCTGAGTAATATTCCATGGAGTAGATATACCACCGTTTCTTTAACCACTTCTCTTTGGACAGGCATCTGGATTGTTTCCATGTCTTTGCTATTGTAGATTGTGCTGCTGTAAATGTAAGATTACAGATTCCCTTCTCATAGGCAGTTTTCATTTCCTTTTGGGTATATTCCTAGCAGCGGGATAGCTGAGTCTACTTGGCTGTTTACCCAAGTAAATGTGTGATCAGGGTGCTGAGTTAGAACAGCTAGGACTTGAACCAGTTCTCTGATTCAAGATCCTGGTATTACAAGGGTGGATTAATCCAATGTGCTCCAATGCTGCCCCACCTGAGTTAGTCTGCATAAGCCCTTTTGTAATTACATATCACATTTTCAAATAGAAGAAATGAAAATATAGCCCATAATTCAACCAATAGTTGAACCTTATTTAAATAATTCTGAAAATTCAGTTGCATTGAAACTTTAAGATCTTCAAATAAAAAACAAAAAAGAAAGTTTGAGATCTTATAATTACATATTCTTAAATTCCCAGATTATTGTAGTAAGATAATATTTATTTACCTTATAGAGAAAAAATAATGTTTCTTATAAGGGGACACATGTTTGGTGTAATAGTTAAAACAACTGGTTTAGGGCTCCTGTGGCTCAAATTGGACTGCTTAGATTTGATTTTCAGCTGCAGCTCCTGATTATGGGGATCCCGGTAGGCAACAATAATGGCTCAGGTAATTGGGGTTCTACCTCTGGTATGACACATGGATTGAGTTCCTAGCTACCAGCCTTGGTTCTTGAGCATTTGGAGGGTGAGCCAGCAGGTAGGCCTGTTCACTCTTTCACTCGCTCATTCTATCTCTGTTTCTCTACCTCACAGAAATAAAAATCTAGAAAGAAAATCTTTATATATCTTCCAGACTGTTCAGGGAGTAGCTGAAAGTCTGACACCATTACAGATTCTTTTCTAGTATTTGTGATCCAAGGAGTAGCACAGTGCTTCCTCAGACTTAAATTTGAGCATTAATATGAATGGCTTTTCTCAAATTCAATAATAAATTTGAATATGGTCTTCTGAGACGTTCCTTTTCCTTTTCAGGTTTCAAATAAAAGAGACCGAGTAGCAGAATGTCAGTTGGAGACTCATAATCGGAAAATGGTTACATTCAAGTTTGACTTAGCTGGTGACAACCCTGAGGAGATAGCAACAATTATGGTATGTGTTTGCATTTCAAATTTTTCTTTTATACTTAATCTTATTCTATTGTTCTAGGCAAATAGGAAGTCTTTTATCATCTGTGTTTATCTTCACGATTATGTATTTCTGTTTGATTTTTTGGTATTTACCAAATTTTTATTCTCAAGCAGTTTTAGAACTCTTTAGGAGGATTAATTTATAGAAGTATAATTATAAGTAAAATAAAAATTAGAAAATTAAGTTAGTTTTAAACTGCATCACTGTGGAAAGCAATTTTTTTTTCTATACATTCTTCCATATGATATTAGCTGGGAAATATTCCCATGTAGATAATAACAGAGCTAAAATTATGACCAAGTGATATTGCATGGTGTGACTGTACTATAATTTATAGTATAAATTTGTGAAGCTTAAATCTACTTTTACAGATGTAAAGGCCTGTGTGTATCTGTGTGCACTTCATCCTTAGGATAAATCAGTTGGAGTAGAATTGCTGGGTTTAAGATGCTGTCAGCATTTTCAGTTGTTCAGTCATGATATGTGTTAAGTTTTGTTTTGTTTAATTTTTAGTTTTTAAAACATTTATTATGATTTGTAGATATATTTCCAAGAACATGATGATATTGCAATCATTTCCTTCTATCTTCCCTCTCCATTTTCTTTGTAGTTTTTGAGATAACATTTTAAATATATAGCACAATTAAAAGGCTTAATACTTTACAGAATAAGTTTAACAAGTGAAAAAATCAAAAAGACCTGGTTTAGTGGGAACATAGGCAATAGCTCTAATTAAATGAAAAGTGAGCATTTCACACATACACAGTACATTGTAAAGTGATTGCTGATCATTGAAACTACACTAGTATGACATTCTTTACCAGTGGTTTTCCGAAGTATGCAATGCCGTTTTACAGAACTATTTGCAGCAATAGTGACAGATACAGAATTACTTTCTGCTTTTTTCTGCTTTGTTTTTTTAATTTTAGCTCCCACAGTTAAGGAAGACTATTCAGTATTTATCTTTCTGGGTTTGCCTTATCCACAACTTATGGTTCAGGGACGTTTTTGTCTCGGATGTGTCTAAGTACTGAAGTTCAGAAGGGAAGAGCTACTTCTTCACAAATAATAAAATTGATATAAATAGGCTCGAGGTCTTGGTCATGATAGTATAATGACTTAAACTTTATGGAATATCAGCTTATTCAGACTGACATGACATTTCCTTTACAGGTGAACAACAACTTTATTTTTGCAGTAGAAAGAGAGTCATTTGTGGATCAAGTGCGAGAGATTATCGAGAAAGTTGATGAGATGCTCAGTGAGGATGTTAGTGTGGAGCCAGAGGGTGACCAGGGATTGGAGAGTCTTCAAGGAAAGGAGGACTGCGGCTTTTCAAGTTCTCAAGTAAGTTTTCCTTCTCAGAGTGAAGCTTTTTTTCATATAAGATGCTACCATGATGCTAATTGTTTTCACATGTTTGGCAGTTGGCTTTGTCTGATTGTTGAGATTGTTGCTGAACATGAATTTCATTCTTTTGTTTGTTGTAGAAATCGGAAAGAGAGTTTAAACACCCAATTCCTGCATCTTCTCTGCCGCAGCAAATTGGTGAATCTTTTTGTTTATTTTTACCTTTGACTTGGGGAGTTACGTATGCCAATAATGAAATTATTGAAGCTCCTTGTTGTGAATAATATATATAACAACATGGTGATAAAGTAATCTGCCTTTTATTGACTAGGTGTTCCTACCAGCTCTTTAACTCAAGTTGTTCATTCAGCTGGAAGACAGTTTATAGTAAGTCCTGTTCCAGACAGTCGATTACGAGAGTCAAAAATTTTCACCAGTGAAATATTAGATACGGGTAAGGATTCATTCTACCTCTGGGTCCTACAAGGGTGCAGGGTCCCCAGGTTTTGGGCCATCCTTGACTGCTTTCCCAGGCCACAAGTAGTGAGCTGGATGGGAAGCGGGGCCACTGAGATTAGAATCAGTGCCCATATGGGATCTGGCACATTCAACGTATGGACTTTAGCCACTAGGCTATGGCACTGGTCACATTCTACCTTTATCTTTATGTAAATTCTTTCACATCTTTACTATGTTGAAAGCTTGATCATCAAGCAGTTGACACTGATGTGTTATTTTTAAGTAGAAAATTGAGCTTATAAGCAACAAATACACATGGAAGGGAAATATGTGGTAAATAGACAGAAAAGGACAATAAGAATGAGCATACTTGATACAAACTGTAGTAGATACTGTTTTCTCTGCGTTTAGAACTGCTGTGTGTGCTTTCAGGTAGCACCCCATCTGACTTCAAACTGTTGTTGGACCTTGCTCTTTCAAAATCTGTCATTTCCTTAGCAGAGTTCATAAACTTTGTTGGCACTATTTTTTATCACAAAATAATTTTTAGGACAATCGTGGGAACCCACCCATCTCATATTTCTGTTTCCCTTTGCAGTTGCTGCCTGCACGTCTCAGGGCCCTGGAATGAACTTGTCGCACTCTGCTTCATCTCTTAGTCTACAGCAGGCCTTCTCCCAACTTAGACATGCCCAGATGACAGAAGGACCAAGTACAGCACCTCCAAACTTCAGTCAGACAGGACCATCATTTCCAAAAGGACCTCCTTTCATGAGCAACGTCACTGGAGTCCCAACCGCAGTAGCAGCCACACCTTCAGTATCAGGCCCAGCAACAAGCAGCCCTCTCAATGACATCTCTACGTCAGTCATTCAGTCTGAGGTTACAGCACCCACTGAAAAAGGGTTGTTGGTTTTGCCACTAGCACAAGTTTGATCACCTCAAGTGGTATTCCTGTCCCTGCTGTGTGTGAGTCAACAGTACTTTCTAGTGTTGGTTCAAACATCACAGTACCTGCAGTTGTCTCAATAGCGACAACATCCCAGTCAGTTCAGGCCCCTGCTTCTGGGGGCACTGTTTCCAGTACAGGCCCTTTGCCTCCTATACCAATTCCAGTGACTTTAGCCTCTGCGGTAGGCAGTGCCTCTGGCCCGGGTGCTAAGCCTCCAGCTGTACTACCTCAGCAGGCAGCAGGCAGTCCTGCTGGGATAGCCACGTTGACATCCACTCCTACCACCACTGTATTCCCTGGCTTAGTGTCACAGCCTTCCCTTCAGCTCAGCAGCAGTACCTCTGCTCCTACTCTAGCTGAAATGGTGGTGGTGAGTGCACACTCACCTGATAAAACATCTCATAGCAGTACAACTGCATTGGCTTTATCTCTCTCTGCACCATTTTCCTCTTCCTCTCCTGGAGCTGGAGCATTGAGTTCTGTTTCTCAGCCTGGTGGAGTGCATTCTTTGGTCATTCCATCAGCTGTAGTTTCTACCCCTGTCCTCGCCTAAGCAGCAGGACCTACATCTGCACCTTTATTACCCCAAGTACCCAACATTCCGCCCTTAATACAACCTGTTGCTAATGTGCCTGCTGTGCAGCAGACACTAATTCATGGTCAGCCTCAACCAGCCTTGCTTCCCAAACAGCCTCATACTCACTGCCCTGAAATTGATGCTGATACACAACCCAAACCTGGAATTGATGACATAAAAACTCTTGAAGAAAAACTGCGGTCTCTCTTCAGTGAACACAGCTCATCTGGAGCTCAGCATGCCTCTCTCACTGGAGACATCACTGGTAGTAGACTACAGTCACACCGGCCATCCCAACCACTGCTGTTGCATCAAGCAAACTGACTAGTTGCACTACAAGTACTTCATTGCCATCTACTAATTTGCCATTAGGAACAACTGGTTTACCAGTCATACCAGTGGTTACACCTGGGCAGGTTTCTACACCAGGCACTTACGTTTCAGCTCCAGTCTGCACTGCATCAGGAGTGAAGCCTGGAAGTGCTGCCTCAAAACTACCTTTAACTAAGACTCAGGCAAGATCCTTGTTATACAATAGCTAGGTATGATCACTGTGCTGGTCTCCATTTTTCAAATTAACATCACAACTTAGACATGTAATTATAAAGGTACCCAACTTTTTGTAGGCACTTGACAGATTGACAGTAGTTTTAGGATACACGTTGAACAAGAGAATTCTTAAAAAGATTTATTTATTTTTATTGGAAAGTCAGATATATGGAGAGGAGGAAAGACAGAGAGGAAGATCCTCCGTTCGATAATGCACTCACCAAGTGCCAGCAACAGCTGGAGCTTATTCAAAGCCAGGAGCCAGGGATTTCCTCCAGGTCTCCCACATGGGTGCAGGGTCCCAAGGCTTTGGGCCGTCCTCAACTGCTTTCCCAGGCCACAGGCAAGGAGTTGGATGGGAAGCGGGGCTGCTGGGATTAGAACCGGCAGCCATGTGGGATCCCGGTGCATTCAAGGTGAAGATTTCAGCTTGCTAGGTCACCATGCTGGGCCCAAGATTTTTTTTTTTTTAATGCGACAGAATTTTGGGGTAATTATGTTGCACAATTTTCTAAGAAAGCTTGTTGTCAGGTGTTAATAGATATTTCTTCCAAATTGATACAAACTAAAAATTCTGTATCACAAAAGAGAGCTAAATACATTTTTCAGCAAAATATGTACTTGAACCATAATTCACAGTTTTGGCTTCAATTGAGAACAAAGCAGGATTTTTGGGTTTTTTTGTTTGTTTGTTTGTTTTTGGTTTTTGTTGTTATTTTGTTTCATTACAAATTCCACAGATACAATTCAGGATTTATTTACAAATTGGAAATAATTAGTTATAGAAATTAAATAACTAAAATGTGTTATTCTGCAGTGGTCGCTTTACTGTGTCATTTTGCTATATACTGTCTCTGTAATCTCCATGTGAGGCTGTGGTATGTCTGCTGTATTGTGTGCTTCAGTCATCTTGGCACATTGCCCTTGATCTGAGATTCTTTGTATAGTAGGAGGTGAATAGATCTCCATGATTTACAGTGGAATTACATCCCAATTAGCCAATCATAGATTGGCAATATCCTAAATTGAAAATGCGTTCAATACACCAAACCTACTAGTGATTGTTGCTTAGCAACAATCTGGAGTGTCCTTTGCTTCCTTTACAGTCTCTGGGCTCACTGCAAGCCACAGCTTATGACCACTGATCAGCCTCACAAAACAGAATCAGATCTCAGAGAAAAGATTCAGATTCAAAATCTGAAATGCTATTTCTACTCAATGTGTACTGATTTTGCAACATAGTTAAGTCAAACTGTTAAAAGTTACACACCATTTGTATAATCTCAGACAAATCAAGAAATTCCTTGATAGTATTAGATTTCTGGTGTCATTTGTTATCAGATCTGCCTTGGTTATTTCTGAACTGAATGCCATGTTCCCAGCAAAGTGCTTTCTTCTTTTTCTTTTAAAAAGTTATTTATATTTGAAAGCCAGAATGACAAGGGAGAGAGACAGAGATCATCTACTTGTTCACTCCCCAAAGGGCTGCAACAACCAGGGCCAGGTCAGGCCAAAACCAGGAGCCGGAAGCTTCTTCTGGGCTTCTGTGTGGATGAAGGGGCCTAAACACTTTTGCCTTCTTGTATTGCCTTCCTAGACACTCTAGCAGGAAACTGGATGGAAAGTGAAGAGGCTGGTATCCGTTCGGATGCTGGCACTACAAACAGCAGTGCTAATAGGGCCTGCCCCGGGAAAAGTGTTTTCTTGAGCAAAAACCTGAGGTAATAATACTGTATAGCAGAAGTGGTTGAAGAGTTTCATAACTGTTCCTATGAGGTGCTCGCAGTCTTTGTTTTCTATTTTCCCTAAGGAGGAACCTTTTCCAATTTTTAGTACTTTTGTAGTAACTTCTATAGTAGAATCATTGCTAATAATCTCCTGTATGTAAGACTGCTACCAGAATGTAACTTAGGTGATGCTAAACCAGTGTTAACTGCCTATATTTTAACCTGATGCTTCTGCATTTAAATTAATTGATTTGTTCTTTAATATGAATACTATTAATAGTGGTATCTCATGGGCTTGAATTTCCCCCTCATTGTAGATGCTGCCAGGGAGTACTGAACTTCCAGCTGGTACTCTACCTAGCGAGTAGTTGCCACCTTTATTGGGACCTTCACCAAGTCAGGTGCCTCAAGACTTGGCCTGTTTCTCTTTCTGTTTCTCTTCTTTCTTTATATATTCTTCATTGCATGGTCTTGCCTCATAGTTCTTTCTTGATTCTGACTTACTAACACCTGCATATGAAAACCATGTAAATCATGACCTGGAACATACTTAGAATAAGAATCGTCACAGTTTTTCTGTTTATATTACTTCATAGTATCTAGAAAACACTTAATATTAATATTTCTTCATATCCTAACAAGGTAGAAAATGCCACATTGACATTTTACAAAATAAATATTTTAGCTCCTTTTATCATTCCCGCTTTTGCAGAATAGTGTAGTGAAATCATATCTTAAATATGAGATTCAGTTCCATGCCATTGTGGAAAAAACAATTTATAAACATTCAGAATTAACTTTGAAAGTGACTTGGCAGGCAAAGGGGTGCCACATTGATTAGCATATCCTTTCCGTGAATTCAGTACAACAGCTTTTTCTTGAATATTTATCATTTCTTTCTTGACCATCTAATGAAATGCTGAGTTTACATATAGGTGGATTGGAGGTGATGTTGCATGAAATATATAGTGATCTCTTTAATATATGATTTTAACACATAGATACCTGTTGATGTAACAATATAATACAGTTTATTATATGAAATGTGCATTCTATATATTTTATATGTACTATATACTATAAAAACTGTTCAGGTCAGCAAAATGCTGACACTGTGGGATTTCAGAGAGGAACTGAGATGGGCAGTGGGAGCTGGAGAGTTTCATCTCTCCCTGAACAATGGTCAGAACTACCTGCAGTGCTTGAACTTCACTTCCCTTTCCTATCCCACCCCACCATCCCCTAAGCCATTGTAAAAACAAAAGGTTTCTGACATAGGACAAGCTAAATGTTAACATAAGAATTTATTTTGGAATCATTAGTAAGAGAAACATGGTTAGTTGCTAACTTGAGAATCCTAGTTTGACTATTCTGCTTTCATACTGACTGATATATAAAGCATGCATAATAAAGTAATAACTGAAACAGAGAATCCCATTTCATCATCTGCAAAGTTTTGGATTAAATAAATGTGTGTTGTTTGTCCGTCTTTTTAACTTGGAAGTTGGGTTTTAAAAATTTGTGTTTCATTTCCTAGGAGTTCAGAATAATGAGAAATAGCAAATGAGAGCTGGGAAATATAAACAGGTAGAACTTACGTGCAGAGAAGTCTAATGAATAGGACCTGCATGTAGAAGAGCGAGTCCTCGGGCCCCTGCATCTGTTTGCAAGAAGCCCTGCCCTTGTCCTGGCACAATCTACCTTTGGAGCCATTTGGGGAGTAAAATAGCACATAGAAATCTTCTCTCTGTCTCTCTGTATGTATAACTCTGCCCTCCAAATAAACAAAGAAATCTTCAAAAAACAAGGAGAGTGATATGGATCAGGTGCAATGTATAGTGTGCTAACCCCTTGTATGTCACACCAGCATTCCGTATGGGTGTCGTTTGTGACCCAGC